CGCCTCCTCCGTCCCGTTTCTCCACAGGTGTCACCACGGCGGCCTGCATCTGCACAGCGTCGGCCTCGGCGTTCTGTGGGGCCATCGTCGCCGACATGCACTCGGAGCAGAGGTCACGTGCGGCTCCACACAAAAGAAGAAAAGAAAAGAAAAAAATCTAGGAAAAATTAAGCCAACAGCAGCACACCTCTTCCCGTGGACGTCCTTCTGTCGAGGAAATCTGCCAATCGGACTCAAGGAGCGTAAAATATTCCAAAACGTGCTGTTTGATGAAGGCCGCTTGCAGGAGCTCTGGGACGGGCCGTGTCGGGTGATTTGGTTCGGACAGTTGGCAAGGATATGACTTTACCATGAGGTCACTCCTGCTGATGTGATGTGTGTGAGTGTGTGTATATGTGTGTGTGTGTGTGTGTGTGTGTGTGTGTGAGCGAGAGTGTGTGTGTATGTGCATGTACTTGTGTATGTGTAAGTGTGTGTGTGTGTGTGGTGTAAGTGTGTTTACTGTCTACTGGAAACAGTAAAAATCCATATCAATTGCCATTCAGTTAATACCAGTTTCATGATTTGTATGGAGGAGGTGTTGTAGAGGGTGGAGGGCAGGCCGAGGGGCGAAGGGCAGGAGAAACCAGACGGAAAGCACCGGAGAATCCCCATGGAGCAACAGATCAATCTGAAAGACAGCGGGAGAGAGAGAGGGTGTTACTCACAAAAAACCTTCAGAAAAAAATGGCCTCTCACAATATGCATAGAATTTTCTGCATTTACATAAATGCATGTACTTTTATGGTTTTACATGTACTGTTATGCATTTACATTAATGCATGTAATTTTATGCATTAACAAGTACTTTTATCCAAAGTGACTTACATTGCATTGAAGGTATATATCTGATCAGTTTATGCAATCCCTGGGAATCAAACCCATAACCTTGGCGTTTCTAGCATCAAAAATGTTAAATCACTACAGTTAAATGCATTGCTAATGCCATTTCATGTTATCTTGACGCACATCTCTGGAACATTCCTCAGTTTTGGGGTTTTAATTTAAGTGCATAATCTGAGGTTCTTGAGTTCGACTCCAAACAAACAGCAGAATTAAAATATTTGGTGGGATTATACCTGGAGCTTTCAGAGATTAGCGGCTGTAAATATTGCACGGTTCAGGAAGAGATGGAAATTCACGCTAAACCCCCGAAACATTAAAGCGTGTGCAAACAATAAGCTCTGCGGTGGCACTTCAGAAACCTCTTAACATGACTGAGATGTGAAATGAATCTGTGTGCGGTCTTGAAGGGTCTGTAAAACCCAACACAATGGCCTTCGCTCGGGGTTCAAACCGGACTAACAGAGCTCCTGATTATACATGCTGCTATTTACGGATTATGAAACGAGGCAAAAGATTAAAGGAAACAAGCATTTCCTGAATGCCACAACAAAAACAAACCGAGTAAAACTGGACAATCAATCAGGCCGAGCGTCGATAAGTGCCGCCGAGGTTTCCCTTCTGATCTACTGAACTGCTTACGTATACAGCGATTAAAGGAATCATATGCAGCAAGCAGCATAATTATAGAAGTAATTGAATAGATATTTATCTTAGTTTACCCGAGTAAACTTAGTAAACCAAATTCAAAAGCAGCACTGCATATATTCTTCATGGAAAAAATAAAAATCACAGAATGCATTGCAGACATTACATGTTAGCAAACTAAGCAAGACAAATGTTGACTATAAATATTCTGTTAATTATTACACAATATTTTGATGTTGTATTAATATAGATACAATATTAAAATAAAAAAAATAAATATTAAAATTAAAAATATATATTTTTAAAACAAAATATTAAAAAGTAGTTCAATCAAATTTGATGGTAGGGATATTTTTATTTTTTACCAAATTCAAAAATAAATAAATAAAAGTAATAATAATAATATTAATAATCAATAAAAATAAAATAAAAAATAAATCCCAGAATACATTGCAATAAGCTCAATGTAAAACCAAATCCATCCAGCAAACAAAACAAGACAAATGTTGATTATAAATACCATGTTCATTATTACAAAATATTATAATATTAATTTAATAAAGATAAATATTACTAATATTAAACTTTAAAATGTATACAATTAAAAATATATATTACATTTTTATATTTTAATATAAACATATTTGTATTTAAAATGTATACAATTAAAAATATATATTACATTTTTATATTTTAATATAAAAATATTTGTAAAAATATTTACTTTAAAAAGGAATGTATGTGCATTTTATAAACATTGTTTTATAAATATTTTAATTATGACATTAATTCAATATAGATAAAATATTGAAAATATTAATTTTAATTTAAATCAGATTATATTTGTTTTAAATATTTTATAAGGGATATTTGTGCCTTTAATAAATATTATAAATATGAACATTATTCTACAATATTATGACATTAATTAAATAGATAATATATCTTTAATATTAAAATATTATATCTTTAATATTAAATGTTAAAAACAGTTCAAATCTAATTTAAAAGGGATGTCTGTGCCTTTTATCAATAATATGTTAATTATACAATATTATGACATTAATTTAACACAGCAAAAAATATTCAAATCTAATTTAAAAGAAACCATTTTACCAAATATGTCGGAGTGTCATGCAATTTTATGTTTGTTAGAGCATGACATCATTATCTTAGACGCGAGACACTCTGGCAAACTCCTACTTAAATCCAGCCTGACAGTTTCCCTAGTGGATCTGCAGAAACATCTGACAGTAATGAACTGCATGCTGAACACTTCAGAGTCTGTTCCTTCAAAACAAAAGAGAGCTAAAACTCTTCGCTCGGTTGACAGCTTTGGAAAATGGCTAACAGGCTCAAACAGGCTCCCTGCAGAGAGAGACAAACAGCATCCCTGCCGTCCGTCATTCAGCAGCCCTCATGTCAGCCGCAGCGTCGAGTTTCCTGATATTAGCACCGAGAGCTTCACGCCATCAGCAATACACCAATAAACGGCCACGATCAAAAACATCTGGGTCAGAACAATACGGCTCTGGTTGCGTTTGAAAGGGTGTTGAGCTGCTCTCCTCTGGGCCTTTGGCAAATCTGCCATCTGCACCAAAAGTGGACTGTCATGTGAGGAGTTAAGAGGGGCCCCGAGAGGCCCTCATCAGCCTGTCAGAGGAAAGAGAGCTGGACCTGCTGGGATTCTGCAGAAAACCGACTCTATAGATAAAGAGGCACAATCTGAATGTGATTGGATGAAGGGCAAGGAATAGATGTGAAGACCTTTGAGCTTCCGGTGAGAAAGAGAGTTTTTAATACCCTTCTCACCTGTGTTGAGACTCTTTCATAAGAGCTTCATGTGGAGTCAAAGCATCTCACTTTCACATAAACGTGAACAGTTTCTCTCTCTCTCTCTCTCTCTCTC